GCAGAGAAACAATAAATTAGGGAGTAATGCTAAAATCGTAAATAATAGTTCACAGGACATGATGAGACTAAAAATAGTGGTAGAACATATATGACAAGTGTAATAGTTAGGGGAAAAAGGACCGGATCTCTAAGTAATTACTATTATAAATATTGGTATTCATTTTTTCAATCCTAATTTAATCTTTTTTAATGGGTTAATGTTTGGATATTTAATTCTCTCTCACACAAACCCTACTTTCCATAAAAGTAAATTAGATTTTTGTTCAACATTGAAGATATATATTTCCAGAATGATATGGTTTTCTTCTTTAGAAGTGAAAAAATGATTTACATCAGTGAAATACAACTTAACGTTATTTTCAATATTATTGAAAGCTAACACGAGTGCGCACGTGCACACACATATGTATAATAGTTTATAAATATATTTTCTTATGTTTATTTGCTTTTGAGCTCCACACCAAACATTAGTAAGCCCATCAAGGATATTTTACAAATAAAAAATCCCCTTCTTGATATTCTCCCAAGATCGACTAAGAGGAGACAGAGAAAAAGAGAATTGGAGAGATTTGCATGATCTAGGCATGCACATTTCATGATCTTGTCTGCGCTAACTTCTCTATCTATAAATAAATATATCTCCATATTATATTATTATTACATAATTCTCAACATACAATTAGCATTCCACAGGAACCTCTGTCATCCATCCTTTCCCCTTTCCAAAGAATAAGAACATATAAAAAGTGTGAAGGGGTTAATTAGCATCACTTTAAGTACATAAAGTTGGATTAGCCTTTATCTTATCCTTTTAGTCCTTATCTCTCTGTCTGCTGCCGATTAAGGACACTTGAAAGTCAGGTAAAAGGACTAAATTGCCCTCATTTAATGGGCAATTAAGATTACACAAATCAATTCCTATATTAGTGGTTAGTGCTTACAAGAACAAGATCTTTTTGGGCTAGACGCGTGTCGTCACATGAAAATCCTAGAATAAAAGATGTGTCCCATGTTTGCAAAGAAGAGCTTATTTAAGAATTCCTCTATAGATTTCGGCACATTTAGCTTATATATGTAGCATTTTTATTTTTTTAAAAAATTGGATTGTGGTAGGGTTTTGTCTGTTAAGTGTTTGCTTATATATGTAGCAATTTTATTTTTTAAAATTGGATTGTGGTACAGTTTTGTCTGCTAATTACAAGTCCCTCTAAGGTTTCCAGATATCGATCTATCAAAAATCCAATTTTCTTTACGTTAAAAAATCATCAATTTTACAGTCCTTAGATTTACAAGTCTAAGTCATATTATTTTTTCTTTCTATCTGTGCAGTTAAGAGCACATATAACAAACCTAAATTGTCAAACTTATTAATTAAGTTTAGAGTACTTTACAATGCAAAACACAACAGCACAAAAAGATAAAAACACATAAAAGGGTATACACGTAAACAAACCTTTCCTTCTCAAATTTCTTTTTCTTTTTCTCGTCCTCCGTATAAAAACAGAGCAACAGATGCAGAGAGAGAGAGAGAGAGAGAGCAGAGCACTGAACCCAAAACAAATCTCTCTCATTTGCTTTGAAAACAGTGCAAGCCTGAACCTGTCCACTACAGTAATATTTTGCGTGAGTGGATGCTCTGTTTTCCCTTTTCCAACCGCTGGAATCTCCTCTTCCTCCCCTGTTCCCAGTTCCATTTTTTATCATAAATCTCTGCAGCAAAAATAAGTTAAAATGGCAATCAAAACAATTTGAAGCAAACCCATTTCAAATTAGCCCTTTTCCTCACTTGGGTCTGATTCTTTTGCTGAGGTTGAGCGCTGAAACCCATTGTAAAAGGCCTTCCCCTTTGCCCTGTTTCTTGTGACCGCCATTGATTCAAGCAAAAGAGAAAATGGATGAGAAGAAGCTTGAGCTTAGGCTGGGCCCACCTGGAGATGAGGAATACCCAGCAAAAACCTGTGTTGGTGCAAAGAGAGGTTTTTTTGCTACAGTTGAGCCCAATACTGGAAGTAGTACGTTTTATTTCTTACATAAATTCATTTAAGATTTATTTATTTATTTATTATTATTATTATTTGCTTCTTTACTTAATTTTTGTTATTTTTTTTCTGTAGTTCTACCACCACATGCTACTGAAAATGCCGCTGAAGGCCAGAGAAGCTCTCGGACTAGGTATTAAATCTAGATCAAACGAAAATGATATCTATTTGTGTTATTTTTTGGGCTAACTTCTCTATCTATAAATAAATATATCTCCATATTATATTATTATTACATAATTCTCAACATACAATTTGTTGATATAAATGAAGAATGGAGGATTTTTATGGAAAAATACCATTTATATAGTTGGATTCTATAGATGAAAATTAAAATGTGTTTAATTAGTAGTATGTGATTTTTAGTCCCACATTGACTAATTGAATGTATTTAGTTGGTTCAAATTAACATATGTGTTATATACGATATAACAAAAGTATTAGGATTGTACGCTTGTATTGGTATATAAACGAGCGGGCACGAGTGTGAGGGTGTGGTCCGGCACGTGCACTAGTGCATGCTCCTTTTGCATGTGCTGTAGTTAAATTAGCCTTAATGTTTCGTATGTTACAAACGTTAGGAGGTTAGGTTTGAATAATAGTTATTGCAAACGTTGCAATAACTGGCATTCAAAGCTTTGTCTAACCTTTAGCTCACATGAACATTATAAAAAGGGCATCCTCTGTTCATTTTAAAACACATAGAAAACAAAACGAATTATCCTCTTGTCTTCTTTTACAATTCTATAAACTATTAGTATTGAAGATTCTGGCGAATTGAAGTTGTAGTCGAGGTGTTCAATAGGAGAGAACGCTTATTTAGACTGCAGCCATCTTATCCTCAGAAATATTGTGCAGACTTAACACTACCGTAGCTGGGATATAATTTCTTCAAAGTCAGTTCTCTGTTTAGAGGGCGATTTGATATTTCTGTAAAGTATCTTGAACTTTAAATTAAGCTGTAATGATATTCTTAACTCTCTGTTTTTTCTTTCATTCCAGTGTGATTCGTTCTACTTATTTTTGGATCTATTTTTATTCTTATTTTTCTCGTCAATCCTTTCCCTTTCCAAAAAATAAGATAAGAACATATATAAAAAGCATGATGAGGTTAATTAGCATCACTTTAAGTACGTAAAGTTGGATTAGCCTTTATCTTATCCTTTTAGTCCTTATTTGTCTGTCTGCTGCCGACTTAGGACACTTTAAGTGTAGTTAAAAGGACTAAATTGCCCTCATTGAATGGGTAATTAAGATTACACAAATCAGTTCCCTTATTAGTGGTTAATGCTTACAAGAGCAAGATCTTTTTGAGCTAGACGTGTGTCGTCACATGAAGATCCAAGAAGAAAAGAGGTAAACAGTTCTATTTATTGGATGACCCCAAATTTCGTCGAAAATTTTCACCATGAGCTTCACCGTGAATCTCACCCTAAACTTTGCCAAAATTCTCGCCTCGAACTTCACCAAAAGTCTAGCTCTAAACAACATTCGCCACAATTTCATGCGCAAAAATCAAGGATGTTAATTTTGAATCCTCATAGTGAGCCCCACCTAGCCGACTTGCTGAGCTTTGCCCAATCAAAATTTTACTCAAGTTTATAGAAGCGAATGAACTCCACCCCAATCAGTAGGGTATTGAAGTGAGCTTTGCCTGAATGACGTAGTGAACTTCACCAAGTCTCCAAATTGAGAAAATTCTAACTCAATCTTTTTGAGACTTTTCTTAGAGAACTTTAGTTGACTCTCGCCAACATAAGAAAGCTTGAACCTCGCTTCCAACATGATAAATTCATGTAGAATTCAAGTTCACCATAGAAGTAAAGTTCATATAGATCAAGCACACAAAGATAGACAATTTAAAAAAGTTTTATTTTTATTGATCGAAGACTCTACTACATAAAGGCAACATTCAAACTATCTAATTATAGAGATGATGGGTATTCGCTGCTATTTGCCACTCCAGCCTCAACAACAATCATAGAGGAAAGGAGAAACCAAAATCAAGAGCGTACCCTATACTCCTATTTATGGATAATGAGAAGGAAAGAGAACAGGAGAGCCACTAAGCTATTGTTCTTCTGATCTCATAGAACTTGGGGAATAGAACTTTTCCCCATGCATAAAAAACAGCTCATTCTTACTCCTCCCTAGGCCCTATGCTAGGAGATGAGAAAGAGATGTTTAATAAGAAGTGCTTCTATTGCTTCAAACTGGAACATATCAAGAGGAAGAAGCACTTTTTGCAAATAAAATACGATGTTGGGCCTGAGATAGCCAAACAACGTCTAATTACATTTTAGGTTCACACTTATGAGACCTAATCACTTTCAAAGTCTTTATTTATGGAGCTCCAATGATCTTTCTTCAGCGCCATCTTAGCTATCGAACGGTCTTACGCAGAGCATGGTAATCGAAGCTTCAAGAGTCTCTATCGCGATTCAACTCGCCCTAAGCCTTTAATTGATTCTCGATGATTTTCTCAAGCTTGGCCTTCTCAGCCGATAGCAAATCCACCAGTCGACGAAGTATGCAGAGTTCATCTGATCTAAGCGACACAGACTTAGGTATGAAGAAGATGAAGATAAATGGAAAGGAATAAGGCTATTTATAGCTTTTCCTAATCCAAACTTCTAAAAAATCCACATTTTTTGAGATTTAATTGGACCGAACAACGAGGCGAAATCCTTGCCTAAAACTCGGTGATAGCGGATCTCATAAATCTTTGACCAAATCTCGACCGCAGATCACGACGCAGATCTTAAAGCGTAATCCCAATGGCCATCGCCAGTTAGTGAGCATTGCTAATTGATGAACCTCGCCCATACAATTCAATGTGGAGTGAACTCGTCGACATTCAAGATCAGCCGAACTTTATTGGTTTCTCAATTTCATCCCATTAATAGGTTCATTGATTTTAAAGTCGAGTCAAAGGTAGGATCTTGAAAACTTTAGGAGGGCGAGGGGTCTTGTAGATGATTAAACTATATTCCATCCAGGCTAATGTTTAGCTTGGATCCAAGAAATAAATGCCTATGGGCAAAATACTTCAAATAGGCGCAAAGTTGAGCCCACAATAGCTGTCGGCTGTCAAAAAATTACCGCAGCTTGATCATCATGATTTTAATTACCCCTTTGTTTCTTAGTGATGAGAGTTACAATTTGACGATTCTCATACTTTAAAAAACCAAATGCAAAGATTACAAAATGACGATCTTTATAGAACTTAAAAAATTACAATTAACAATCTATTCAAAGCAAAACGCGAGGGTTCACCCTCCTCCCGCATTCTAACTCCAAAAACATAAGGGTCCACCCCCGCACTCCAATTCCAAAATGCGAGGGCCACCCCCACGTTCCAATTACAAAATGCGAGGGTCACCCCCGTGTTCTAAGTCTAAAACGTGAGGGCCACCCCCGCTTTCTAATTCCAACACACGAGGGCCACCCCTGCGTTCCAGTTCAAAAATGCGAGGGTCACCCCCGCGTTCCAATTCCAAAATATGAGGGTCACCCTCGCGTTTTAATTTCAAAACGCGAGGGTCATCCCTGTGTTTTAACTCCAAAATACGAGGGTCACCCCCGCGTTCTAACTCCAAAATATGAGGATCACATTCGTGTTCTAACTCCAAAAATGCAAGGATCACCTCCACATTTCACAAAGTTGAACGCGAGGCTCGCTCCAGAATGTGAGGCTTCTCTTCATGTGTCAGGCATATCTAGGGTTCCTCCTACTGAACCCGATATCATTTGCGTGGTGGTCTTAGCTTTTCCTCTGGACCCATTAACAAATTTGAAGGGGAGGATCCAGCCACTGCGAAGCGGGGCTTGACTATGAGGTCTCAAAAGCTGTTAAAGTGGGGAACTAGACCCCGAAGAGTTGAAGATGGTAGCAGCAAAGACTGCTGAATTTGTTGCTCAGTTGGCGGGGTTGAGCATCATCGCTCAAGCCGAGTGATTCGAGAAGAGGAGGAGGAGATTGAACAGAGGCTAAGAGCCTTAGGGGATAGTTGACTTGGCTCGAGTTGACTTGGCTGATGTCTCCTCTTTAAGTCCCAAGGATGGCCCACCTCCAGTCATCCCTCTCTCCAAGACGGCCAACGTAGTTATCTTGAATGAGGCTTCACTCGATCGACTAGTAGGGGAGAAGAGGTAGCAAGGCCTGCTGAGGTCGAGAGTCGAGTAGAAGAGTTAACAGCTCTGGTCTATTTGTCTAAGCCTATCCACAGACCTGGCAAGGAGCTTATCGAGGTGTCGAGTATGGCTATCGAGGAGGCAGCCCAGCCCTAGGCAGTTGGTAAGCAATCGAGGGCTAATGCAACTTCAGTCCAAGAGGCGGCTCCCGGTGGCCTTTCCGCCATCGCATTAGTGAGCTCGACCCCTATGTGTGGGGGGAGGCTAGATATACACTGATGGGCATGTCGGGGGAAGGCTTCATGCACAAAGAGGACATTCTGAGGATGACAAGTTCATCCCCAACTAACCTCTCAATAAGGAGAGGTCGGTCCTGAAGTCTTGGATGGCTCAGTCTCGAGCTCGGAGTAATTCTTCCTTCCTAGGGATGATAAGATATTGAGGGTGATGCCCAGTGTCGGCCTCTACCAAGTCTTTAAGGGTTATTTGCTTTTGGGGCCTCTAATCAAGCAAGACATGTTCTCTCAACTCGACTATACGTAGAGACTTCCTGGTAATTTTGAAAAGGCACTGGAGGATGAGAGAATGACTAAGGAGGCGACTGAGATGAAAATTGCCACTTTAGAGGTTGAGCGAGAGGTTTGGAGCCGTAGTGAAGGCAAATGGCGTTGGGAGTTGGAGATGAGGGAAAACATAATCCAGGGGCTTCAGGGGCATCGTACCAAGCAATCAACCACCATTATCAAGCTAAAGGAAGAGATTAGCCATTACAAGCACGAGATCATCAAGTGGGATGGCCAAATCAAATATCTAGTTGAAGAGGTCGAGAGCGAGAAGCATGCAAGACTAGATGCTCAAGAATGCACTCATCTGATCGCCTAACTGTCGAGAATCTAAAGCTCGATCTCCAGGAGGAGTGGTCAGCCCATAAGGCATCTTAGTACACTATCCGATCTCTAGAAGCTCACCTTGCTTTCTTGGAGTCGGAGACTTATAGGG